TCCATTAGCGCCTCGACCAGCCAGACTTCCAGATTGTAGACCTCCTCCGCATGTTCCAGCACCACTTCCCCCTCCCTATTGATTTACTACTTTTATCATTCATTGTCTTTTTTGTTATTATTATTATTATTATTATTATTCTTATTTTGACTATCTAGTTATCTATTTCTCCCCTTGTGTTTGAACTCCACTTTTATATTATTCATGTCGTTTATATACTTGTCTAATGTATTGTTTTGACGTGCTCAGTATCAATAAAAAATCGCTCATGCAGCGGTACAACACAATTTCAGTCACGAGCATACTCAACCCAATCCATTAGGCAATTTCTTTCCTTTCTCCTTATTTTCTCTTTTGTTTTTCTTTGTTTTATTTTTCACATTGAGGACAATGTTGATTTCTAAGTATAAAGAGGTTAGTACTAATGGATTGAATTGCATACCTCTAAGTAAAACGTCTATTGTCTTTTTAGATAATTTTAAACTTTTTTCCAACCAAGAAATCATTTAAAAAAAAAAAACAGAACTGAGTGATTTTGATTGAATCTAAAGCTTTAAAAGAGAATGATAATTATTTGAGCTCCTTGCTTGTCTAGTTCACACTATACTTACTCTCACATATGTGAGTTTTTGATCCTTTTATGGTACACTTGTATACCCTATTATTTGATGGATTGTGTGATTTTCTCCATAGGACTTTGACTCTAGAACTTGACTCGTAACCAGTTTGAGACTACTTTGATTGTTTGCATGTTTTAATATGATTGAAACAAATTAGGACTGTTTTATTCTTGACTTTCAACCTTTTTGAATTCACTTAGTTGCCCACTTTAAGCCTGATTGATATTTCTTGGCCCCTTGCATTGAATAAATTATTTGTGACATTAAGTTATGATTGGAGCATTTATAGTGAATTATTAAGATGCAGAAAATTTTCAAATATAAATATGTCTTTGCTCTCCCCTAAACATGTGATAAGAAATAAAAAATAAAAGAAAAAAGAAATAGTATGGGCCACAAAACAAATGAGAGGAAAAGAGAAATAAGAGACTGCATAAATGTGAAACTATTTGCAAAAAGTTCAATTATAAACTTAGGGATTGTATTATGATGATCATTCCCTTTTGCTTATCCTTTCTTTTCATATATCTCTCCCATGTGTTAAGCCCTTGACCCCATTATAATCCAAAAAAAGACCTCATAATTTTTTCTAGCATTCAAATCTATACAGTGAAAAATTGGTTTGTTGTCAAGCATATGGTAGTAAATTTTCTTTGGATAAACCAAGTGATAATTCTATGTCCCATAAACACTTTGAGAGAAAAGCAAAGAGAGTACCTCAGTTGGTGTGCAAACAGTAAGATCAAGGAGCATAGGAGTTTAATTGAGTATCCCTTTGATTGCTCAGATTCAATGATTTCTATTTAGATTCTTTTCACTCTTCCTTGAAAAAAGTATTTTGGGATGCAAAGTTTATAAATTATCTGCTTATGATTTTGTCATGACCTTTTGCTTGAGGGCAAGCAAAACCTAAGTATGAGGAGATTGATAATTCTGTATTCTAACACATTTTTTCAACATGCTCATAAGCACTTATTGTTGAATTGAATAAATTTTTACACTAATTACCCTGTTAATTATTGTAGATGAACATGTGTGAAGATTCAAAGGACTTATTGATATTTTGGGCCTAATTTCAAGAGAATTAGGCCAACTAAGAATAAAGCACGCCCAATCCTCAATTATTAGCATGCCCATGCCTTGTTAGCATGCATGGCCATGCTGTGAATATGCACGCCTATGTTTCAAGTATAAGCACGGTTGTGCATTCATCTGACATGGCTATACTCATTTGCGTGAATCACACTTTTAACAAAATTTAGGGTCTTCAAACCTTATTAAAGAAGGCATGAGGGTAGCAACTAAGGAGGCATTTTTTATACTTCACTTTTGAGTTTTGATGTTGACTACCTTATCTTTTCCACACGAGATCTTTGGCATATTTCTAGTGGGACTTGAAGCTTCAAGCAACTTGACTTGAAGAACAGGAACTCCCTTCTAGTTTATTTTTCACCTTTGTTTATAGCTTGTTTACAATTGCTTTAGCTTTCTTCTTCAACATAAGTAGCTAATTCCATAACTAGTGCTACAGGGATTCTCGTTCATGAATTTATGAGGTTTTGATGATTAAATCTAAATTTGATTTATATTTGTGATTAGTGTTTATCCTATTGTGATTGATTGTGTATTGTGAATTGGTCACTCGTAACACAACTCTAATTAATTACATCGTCAGGAGACCATACGTCAATTAGTTAATGGATCTATATGATAAAACAAAACAAAGGATTAGGTGAACCAAACCAATCTTTCTCTTTCAGTCATTATTAGATTAACAGATTCATAGGTTCTTTATGCTTTCTTTAATTGATGTCTTCATTGACCATTGAGATGTTAATTTAGAAAAAAATATTAATAGTGCATGACTATTGGGTATTAATAGTAATTATATGACTGATTGATAATCACAAAGACATTAAATTTAGAACTAATTGAAAAAAAAAACATAAAAAATTGAGTGAGTAAACCCCCAAACTCTAAGTTTCTCTTCTATAATTTCTAATAAGGCATGTGCTGTGATACTTGCTTTGAAATTTGGTGATACTTGTTTTAAATCTTAAATTCTAATATCTGATTTCACATATATTAAATTCAAACATTTAGATAAAGAAATTTTTAGTAGTTAGAGACCAATCCTTGTGAGACAATAATTTTAAAAATTTATTTTAGAATTCTATATTACTTTCAAATAATACTAAAGAATTGATTGAGTTAGAATAAAAGTGAAGAATCTATCTTGGATTGCCCTTCATTATTGCAAGAACTAAAAAACATGTATTTGCATTTCTATAAGACCAGGCTTAAAAGACATCAAAGAGTTGAAAGGAAATTAAGTTCTTATACAGAAGTAATAGCTTAACAATTTTAATTTAGGCATATGTCATATTAAAGATAATGATTAATAATTTGCAATAGGAAAAAAGAGAGAGAGAGTAAAATGCACTTCCTAGTTAATTAGAAAGCGCTTTGTAATTCAATATAATAAAGGTAGATTATGATTTAGAAATTGAGTTTAATTATGATGTAACGTTAATGTAAATTTTTTTATATTATTAATGTGTAGTAAATATATTTTATATTAATTATTTTAAAAATAAATAATTTTTATTGATATGATAATTTATATTAGATAATAGCATAAACAATTATTCTATTAAAATATTTCAAATTAAATTCGTAGAATTTTTTTTAAAAAAATAGCATAGCAATGTGTTTTGAAATATAAATTCTTATCTCAAATTCAACTTTAAATATAATTTAATAATAATGAAATTATAGTAATAGAGTTAAATTATAAAATTAAATTTACATGTTAATAATAATACTTTATTATAAAAAATATTATTTGGTCTTTAAATTTCTCATTTTCTTAAGATTTTTAACATATAAAGATTTTTTAGTTTCAAACTAAAATAAAGTGTGTAAGGAGATAGGGTAAGAGTTAGTTTGGGGAGCATGAGAATGCAAACACTCACCAATAATGAATATGAATTCCGGGTAGTTAGTTGTTTTAATATTTTTGGTCGAAAAATCATCTATTTAAGTAAACATGCCTAAAAATTCTTACTGCAGCTTGTAGTTACTGCAGGATATCCTTTTTCCTCACCTAGCTCGTTACCATCCTTTGATTGGATAGAAATCATATGTTCTTATGTTATGCATGTAACGTTCCTCAGTTCTTTTTCAAAGTATGATACATGGTTGATTTTGTAGAATTTGATAACAAAATCATTTATTTTCTTCTTTATCCCTCTAATTATAAAATAAGCACGAACCAAAAATATAAGAAATAAAAATTAATAAAAAATAGTTCATTTTAATTAGTTTGTAGTATAAAATTTTTATACTAACGAAATATCAATTAAACTTTACTTTTTAATTCATAAATTTATAGTTGAAGCGATAGAAAAAAAGACACTTAATTTAAAAAAATGTTAACTCACACTTTAAAATTAAGTTTAAGCAACTAATAATAATAATATTTATTAAAAACATATTTATCATACTTTTATAATTTTAATATTATAAATATATATATTTTTAAAATTACTATTTTATATACTTAATGACAACTACAAAGATTAACAAAATTTTAAATTTAGTCTTATATTTTTATCCTTGTTATATTTGTCAATTTCACATGACCAACTGAAGTGTAGAAATTATGTTAATTAAGTACCAAAAATGTTAAAAACACATTAATGTGGTAGTGATTTTGTCTTAATCTTCTCAATTGTTTTCCTCGCCTATGATAAATTCTATCCAACTCTAATTTTTCTCATGCCTTATTTTTTATACTTGACATTCTCTTTTCTTTTCTTTTTTTCAATATAAGAACTCATTTTCCAAGTAATAATTTGATAGTTGGTAAATACACTTTATATCAGGAAATATTACGTTGATTATTTTTTATTGACTTTTGCAGGTTTATGAGTTTATCTTAAATAAATTGAGGCAAAAAATAAAAAATTAGCCATATATAGAGGTGAATCAATTTGGGTGCTCCTTTCTATGACATTCCAGTTTCCACAACGTGCGAGTTAGGCAGAGTTGCTTGACGTAAATTGCATGGCATACGTGGATAGTCTAGCCATAGCTGCTCTAATCGAATGGTCCTTTTCAACTTTGTTTTTAACTTCTCTCGATTCTTTGTCAACGAGACTCGACCTAACTCGTGAGAAAAAGAAAACCACATATATGTTCGAAAAGTTTAAATGGTGGACAACTCTAGAATGGTACAGAAGTTCAACGTATTTTGTGATTTGTGGACCCTTATATTATATATATGATCCAAATAAAATCTCCTAAGTCCTTAAATTCAAAATCCCTTCATCTCCCTCTATCTCTAAAGAGCGACTTTTCACTCAAAATCGTTTTTTTAATTCTAAACGCGTTTGGAAAGTTCCTGTTTTTCGTTTTGGCAAATCACGTAACACAATGGGGAACCAACTTTGCAAAGGGTATGAATGATCAATCATATTTATGAGTGGAATTAATCAATTACCCTTATCAGCATTCATTGCCAAATTTCATCATGCCCCATTTAATTTTTTTTTTTCTACAATCTGCAGAGGAAAATTAAGATCTAAGAAAAGACCAATGGGTTTCATTCATCATCAAGCTTCACCCTCTCACATAGGGATAAGAACTGTGGGAGCGGATAAAGTTTGTAACTTCACCACCCATTCAGATCTTTGTATCTCCATAGTAACTTGGAATATGAATGGCCAGGTGCAAACAAGTCATTTAATTCATTCTTTGTGCTAGCAAGAGAAATTAAGCTCACTTCAATTTTGTGATGTTATATATAGGTTTCGCTTGAAGATTTAGCAGAGATGATTGGTAGCAACCGCGAGTTTGATCTTCTAGCTGTTGGCTTGCAAGAGGCTCCTCCATGTCCACGAAACAAAGTTGAAACTCTGCTTTCAGCAGCTCTGGATGAAAGTCATACGTAAGATATTGGCCAAACTATTTGTTTTCGTTCTTTTTGTTTCGGGTTGTTTTTTTTAATCCAAAGATTGAAAATAAAATGCATAAGCTTCAAAATTTATCCAATTGTAGTATGTTGCAAAGAACTATTATTATAACTATAGACATTCATGTTTCTATAATGACAATAATGGTCATGAATTAATACAAAGATCACCCACTAACCTAGCAAGCTACAGACTTCAATCAAGCTATAGCATCATCGATTCTCTTTATCATTTTTCCCACCATGCTTATGAAAAATGTTGTTAACCAATGTCGTGATAATACTTATTAATATTAAAAAAAAAGCTAAAAATATTTAACGAAAAGTTCAACATGTTATATCATCTTGTCTTGACAAGACACAGATATATGGGATAAAATTCAGACCAAATTGTTAACATTATCCTTTCTTAATTATCTCGTAAGTGAAAAAACAAAGGCTACGACTAAGAGTTTTAGCTTTTAGTCAAACGATAATAAGCTCTTTATTAATGTCCACATCCTAGTTAATTAATGGATTAATTAATGTCATATTTAGTATTGTTGGTTTCAACTTAATTACAAATGGCGGGGATAAAAGACCAAGCTCAAATTTTGCATGTCTCTAGTAGTTTTTAATTATTTAAAAAAAACATCTTTTTTTTTTTCGAATTGTGTCTGCCAACTTATTGGAATTTTTCAATTTTTCCTTCATTCCTTCTGAAATGAAGTCTGATAGGTAAAGTTATCATGCAATCTTTGCAGTTGTACCTGTTTGGACCAAAGAATGCCAGATCATTCATTAATGGTGAGATTTTGCGTCAACAATTTATCTTATACATGGTTATTATTTATGTAACCCCTACTAAATGTGATTATTATAATTGTCAGAATTGAAGGTAGACAAACAATCTGTTGGTGGCTGTGGAGGAATAATTGGAAGAAAGAAAGGGGCTGTAGCAATCCGCATTAACTACAAAGGCATAAGAATGGTGTTCATCTCCTGCCACCTCTCTGGTAATAAATTGAGGATCTCCTTGTTATGTACATGAACAACAAATTAATTAAGAGTCTTCTTAATCAAACGCTCTTAACGTATATATTAACTAGTTAAAGAGTAGTAATGCATTTTATTAAATATTTTTAATGATTTTAAAAAATAAATATTGAATGACTTTTATATTTTAATATGTTATTTTTTTAATAAAGAGCTATTTCGTTTTGTTTTACATTTCATCTCCGTAGAGTGTTTATTAGGATAGTTATTAACATTTCCCATTAATTATAACTTATTTTCAATGTTGATAAAAATCATTTGCATACTATTTGTCTCATCCCAATTTCTCTTGATCAATGAGACTTTCAAGCCTTCCTTATAATTATAATCGAATTATACAATGGGCCAAGGATCATGCTAGGAAATTTAGTTGTAACAGTAAAATGAATTAGAATTTTGCTAACTATTACTTTAAAAATATTGGTTAAAATATAATAAACTGATGCTTTTTTTTATTATTAAATATTATAACAAAGAACATTGAAAACTACAAAAGTTAGGGTATTATTAGATTTTTTTAATAAAAAGTATTTTTAATTCTGTAACAAATACTTTTAGAATACTGATTAATAAGACCTTAATTCAATTAAATATTGTAAAAATATACTGTTAGCATTTTTCATTGAATTATATATATACTAAAACTAATTTTCTTATAATTTGCAGCCCATGCTCACAATGTAGAGGAAAGAAACTTACAGTGTAGGCATATATCACATTCCCTCTTCTCCAAGTTCTGGAATCCATATGCTAGACCATCCCATATTACTATTTGGTTAGGAGATCTAAACTACAGGCTTGAAGGGATTGACACTTATCCGGCCAGAAATCTTATAGAGAAAGACCTTCACCGGGTTAGTTCAACAGTATCTTCTCTCCATTATTGGCCTTAACATTTTTCTTTTTTTAACATGTTAGAATGAGTTTTCAACTTAATTTAAATCTCACACGTAATTGCTGAATCATCTTGCTATTTCAGCGGTTGCAAAGCAAAGATCAGCTCTTACATGAAGCAGAGCGAGGACAAATTTTCAATGGTTTCTGTGAGGGAACATTGACTTTCAAGCCAACATATAAGTATAATAAAGGAAGTAGCAACTATGATACAAGTCAAAAGGTAACACTTTTCAATTCCACATCAACACGCCATGCATGGGTGGATTATATGTGATTCATTGTCCTTATAAGATGTGTGCATCTGAAAATAGTTTATATGCTACGTAATTTTTAAATTCAAACAACAACTGGCCTTTTATAGTCAAATATGAGAAGTACACGGAATTTTTTAAGCTGTGTCCGTGTATATGCAGATCTAATTACCAGACATATTTTGGAGCATTCTTTAGTTATAGAAGGACTTTGGTTCATCCCCTGGAGAGGAATATTCAGATCTTGACGTAACATATACTGTATATTTGATTACTTACAAAATATTTATTTTATAATTTTGATACGTTTGGATAATGTATGTTACTGTTTTTCTGATATTTTTCAAACTTTAATTTGAGATAGGTTAGTCTAATATCACATATTAGTGATGAAAATAATATTTTTAACAGTTTTTTTTCCTTGATATCAGGCTATCAGCAGTACTTTTAGTGTTCTTTTAAAACAATACTAAGGATGTAATGCATATTGAGAATTTTTCACACATATATCGTATATATAGCAATTCAATAATTTATAATTATAATATTTGTTTAACTAATCTTTAAAAAATTATACTACCTTAAAATAATAATTCTAATGGTTATATTACATATAGCAAATTACTATTAAAAATTTTGTTGTTACTGAACAGTTCACAAAGGTTTGTTACAATTAATTAAGATGAAATAAAAGTTAAAAATTGAAAAAATTGACAAAACGAGTGGTAATTCCTAATGAAGTTTATATATCCATTCGTGTAACACTTCACTATATAATATGATTTTCTATTGTGTTGGTTACGTAAACTTGCATGCATGATGTATAACTATAAGTGCTTGCTGTTTTAAAACATTAATGCAGATGTATATATAACTTTATTCTAGGTACATGTGTAATTCAAATACGAATCAACAATTAGCTAATCCCTTGCGGTGCGGTACCTGCATTTTGTTTTATTGCAGGTTCGAGTGCCAGCATGGACAGATCGTATATTGTTCAAGATAGAAAACGAAAATAACATTGAAGCAACACTACATTCGTACGAGTCAATGGACGAAATTTACGGTTCTGATCATAAACCAGTAAAGGCACATATCTGCTTAAGACTTTGTCAAATTCCATCAAAACCCCATTAATTGTAGCCATCTAGCTATGTGCCTAAATTGACATGCGATCCAAAAGTGTACGGTTATTCTTTCTTTATCCATTATTTCAGGTTCTATTTTAATATTCAACTGTGAATAGTATTAATTAATATATAATTTGTCAAAAAAGAAATAAAGAAACACAAAGAAAGATGTGAATTTGTAGTTGAAATTTGTCTATGGACACATAAGTCCTCTGGTCGGTTTATTGTGTATTGACTGCTTTGCAACGCGTTCCGATTGGTTGAGTACCTTGGATTAGTTCCAACTAAGCCACCAACGTTGAAGTTGACCTATTAGCCAACAACTTATTTATTCGAACATTCATTTTATATTTTTTTAATAAATCATTTTTAAATTTTGTGCCTTTAGGGGGGCGGGGGGATAAAAGAATGATCTCTTGGGGTGATCTTCAAATAAACTTACGTCGTTTCTTAATTCACTTACGAAGAAGTTTAGGGTTGTTTGATTTTAGAATATTTGTTTTGTTTTATTTTTATTTTTAATTACAAAAATGATACTTTATTTTTTATTTTTTAAAATTTATAGAAAATTAGTGATCTATTTTTGTTATTTTTATTTTATACAAACATTTTAAAACAAAAAATAAAATTAAAATAAGGAAATATATTTATAATTAAAAATGAAAATAAAAATTTAAAATTAAAGGATTCCTTAATTTTTCTAGCTGAACTCTTGTATATTAAAAAACAAGTGTCGATAAAACTTTTATAATATTTTAAGATAATACCCTTATGAGCCTGCTTAAAAGCTTAAACTTATTGGCCTAGATAAAAAATTAAAATACATTAGTCTCTTTGAAAGTTTTAGTTTCTCTCTATATAAAGTAAAAACGAAGTAAGACCTTAAATAAAACTCAAATTGAGTAAATAATTAAGTTCAGAATAATGAAAAAAAAAAATAGAATCTAATATCTTATCTACTATTAAATTTTAATAGAAAAAATTATTTAAAGAATTATGAGTACAAAATATACTTAAACTTAATGTATACTAGAGTATTTAGTCATGGAACAAAATAGTTTAAGGTGTAAAATATGGTTTCGATGATTTTTAAAGGGTGGTGTTCTGTTGAAAAGGTAAAGCCACTTTGTGACTAAAGAAAAAGTGAAAAAATAAAAAGTAAAAGTAAAAATGAATAGTTTCTCATTAAAATTTACAATTTGTGGAAATGGAATGAAAAGAATAAAATTTTATAATATTAAAAGCATCACAAGTTGAAGTTAAAGTTCTGACTATAAATACATGCATGATTTCTTGTTACATATCGCCCTCGTCCCATTTTTTTAGTGTTATTTTTATAGAGAAAAAAATCAGAGAGGAAAAAGTATGGTTTTTCTTATAAAGTTCTTTTAGTTTTGTTTTCTCCTATTATTAAGAGAATGTTATTATTCTCTTCTTGTAATTAAAATAAGTTATACTATTTTTTCACACAGTAAAAGTTTTAATTTAAATATTTCTCGATTCTATTTTAGTCATAAATATTTACTTTATATACTTATGGTACTTAACAATGGTATCATAACCAAAGGTTATTGGCTTACGTCTTAGATATTATTTACCATTGTTTATTGTGCACATTGATGTAGTTAAAAAATGGCAACAAAATTTGAGATTGAAAAATTCAATGAGAATAATTTCTCATTGTAGAAATTAAAAATAAAAGCAATTTTGAGGAAGGACAATTATTTAGCAAAAATTGAAGGAAGACCCGTAAATATAGCAAATGATAAGTGAAAGGAAATTAATGATAACGTTATTATAAATTTGCATTTGGCAATGACTGATCCGTCTTATCAAGTATTAAATAGAAGAAAAATACAAAGAAGATTTAGGATACTTTCATTAAATTGTATGAGGCCAAGTCTCTTTATAATAGAATTTTCTTAAAGAGGAAACTATATACTCTTTGGATGATTGAAACATAATCTATAACTGATCAAATCAATAATCTGAATACAATATTTTCTTAACTCATGGTATTGAATTTTAAAGTGGTGAAAAATGAGCATGTAAAGCTCCTCCTTCAAAATCTATCATATTCATACGACCAACTTGTCATTAATATTGTAAATAATAATATCACTGACTCTCTATCTATCCTTTGATGATGTAGGCAACATCATTCTTGAAGAATAATTTAGGCGTAAAAATAAAGAAGATAGAATAAAATGTTTAAAGCAAGGAAAAGTTTTAGCAGTGATAAAGGGGAGATTGATGGAGTATGACTTTAGTGGGAGTCAAAGACGTGGTAGATCAAAATCCCAAAGAAAGAAAAATGTCAATTGCTACCATTGTGATATAGAGGGCACTTGAAGAAAGATTGTTGGTATAACAAGAAGAGTATAGAAAGAAGCTTTAAAGCAACTACTTCTAAAGGGTGATACTATATAACAAAGTAGTGATTGATTCTAAAGATGAAAAACAACACATTAATGTATGAATAATGAATTCCAGGACAACATAACACATGACTCCTCACCAAGATTAGTTTTGCACCTACAAGCCTGTTTTGAAAAGATCTGTGTTTATAGGAAATAATCATGCCTTAGAGATTATTGGAACTGGTACTGTTAAATTAAAAAGGTATAATGATACTATTAGAATGATTCAAGGGTACAACATGTCAAGGGTCTAAAGAAAAATTTATCATCTATTAGATAATTGGATGACCTCAGATGCAAGATTCATACTAAAGGAAGGGTTTTAAAGGTGGTTAAAGGTACTTTTGTAGTGATGAAGGCAAAAAAGATCATGGTTAATTTATACATGCTTTTGAGAGATACTTTGCTAGAGGTAGATGCATTAGTTGTAGCAACTAATTAAGAAGAAACAACGATGATATGACATCACAAACTAGGCCATATGTCAAAATGAGGCTTGAAAGTCCTTGCAGAACGTAATCTCTTACTTGATGTGAAATTAATAAATTTATCTTTCTGTGAGCATTATGTGATAAGTAAGCAACATATATTAATATTTGGTAAATCAATTGTTAAAAGTAACCACATACTAGATTTGATTCATTCTAATGTGTGAGAGCCACCAAAAATGTCTCTAAGAAGAGCAAAATATTTTTCTATCTTTTATTAGTGATTATTCTAGGAGACTATGGATGTACCTGATTAAGAAGAAATTAGATGTATTTTCAATATTTAAAGAGTTCAAAGTATAGGTAGAACTTAAAACTGGAAAGAAAATTAAGTGTTTTAAAGACAGACAATAGAGGTGAATATATAGAAAGGTAATTTATGGTATTTTGCAAGAAAATGGGTATCAAGAGACAATTCACAGTTCCTCATACACCTTAATAAAATAGTATAATAGTGTGAGTAAATAGAACTCTCCTAGAAAGGACAAGAGTTATATTAAAAACAACAAGTTTGACAAAGTCTTTTTGGGCATAAGCAGTGAAAACTACTTATTATGTGGTAAATTGGTCACCATCAATTGCAATTGGTTATCAAGACATTAATAAAAATGTGGAAAGAAAAATTAGCATATTACTCTTCTTTACATGTGTTTGGATGTCCTATGCACGTAATGTACAATTCACAAGAAAAAACAAAATTAGATCCAAAATTTAATTAATTATTGAGGTATGCTAATATGGTCAAGGGTTATCGCCTGTAAGATTCCATTGTCTAGAAGGTTGTTATTAGCATAAATGTAATATTTGTAGACAATGAACTACAAAGTAAACAAGGAAGTGATATTACTACTAAGAAGACTACAATTGTACATATAAATAAAAAATCTAGAGGAGACGATTCTTCTAAAGTAGAACTTAAGCATGAGAAACAAGAACTAGATGAGACCAATGGTGTAAATGTTTAATAGAGTATACAAAATATAAAGATATCATTATGATCTTCAAAATATGTTATAGTAAGTCACAATGTATATTGTCATTTTGCAGAAGAAGGTGAATTGTCCACCTTCTAGGAGATCATAAATAGTTCAGATGCTTCTTTGTGGATGATAGTAATGTATGAAAAAAATGAAGGTCTTACATAGAAATGAGACATGGGAACTTGTTACACTTTCAGAAGTTCATAAATCCGTTGGAAACAAATATGTCTATAAGGTTAAATGAGACGACAATGATAAAGGGCAATAATATTGTGCAAGATTGGTGGTTAAAGGATATACTCATAAAGAAGGTATTGATTTTAATGAGATATTCTCTTCAGTAGTCAAACTTACCACTATTAGAGTAGTCTTGGCTATGTGTGTTGCATTCAACTTACATCTTGAACAACTAAATGTAAAGATCACTTTTCTTCATGAAGAACTTGAATATATATATATATATATATATATATATATATATATATATATATATATATGCTTAAACCATAAAGTTTTGAAGAAAAAGAAAAAAAAACTTAGTTTGTAGGTTGACCAAATCTTTGTACAACTTAAAACAAGTGTCAAAGTATTAGGTACAAGAGATTTGATTCCTTTATTATTAGCCTTAGATACAACAGACTGAGTTCAAACTATTATATGTACTACAAAAGGTTTGATGATAATAATTTGTTGTTGTATGTGGATGACATGTTGATATAGGCCCCAACAAATATCAAGTCCAAGAATTGAAGGAAAAATTGATTAGGGAGTTTGATATGAAGGACTTAGGACTAGCAAACAAGACTTTAAGGATATAAATTCACCAAGACATAAAAGATAGGAAGATTTGACTTTATAAGGAAAGTCTTGCAGCATTTTAGCATGTAAGACTGTAAGTCAATATTTACCTCAATTCCTATTAATTATAGGTTGTCATCAAGTATGTGTCTTAGCAATGATGCAGAGATGATAGAAATGTTTCAAATACCGTATGCATTAGTAGTAAAAAGCCTAATATATGCAATGATCTATATTAGACTAGATATTGGACAAGTAGTTAGGAATGTGAGTTATTTTATGGCAGCTCCTAGAAGGGAGCATTTGAATGTTGTTAAGAGG